ACGTAAAAGTGGAATCCCAAATGAAAAATGTAAGCTATTAAAGGGGCAGGTGAAAAGCATGCTGTGAAACACCATGAAATGCAAAGCAATCTCAAAACGCTGGGTAATGCACGGCTAGCTGCGTAGTAGATCATAGCTTGGTAGCGAGTGAAAGCTAGGACCAAGCAACTCAATAGGCCAAGAATGCCAGGAACGTAACAGTAAAAGTCGAAACCCAAAAGAACAATGCAAGTTATGAAAGGAGAAGTTGAAAAGCATCGCTACGAAATGCCAAGGCAATCGGAAAATGTTGGGTAGTAGATCATAGCTTGGTAGTGAGTGAAAGCTAGGGCTAAGCCTGGAACGTAAAAGATCCCAAAAGTTGAGACCCGCATGAAAAAGTAAGCTATTAAAGGGGCAGGTGAAAAGCTTGGTGTAAAGTACCATGAAATGTAAGGTAATCTCAAAACATCTAAAAACGCTGGGTAGTGCACAGCTGCGTAGTAGATCATAGCTTGGTAGCGAGTGAAAGCTAGGACCAAGCAAATCAATAGGCCAAAAGCCTGGAAGGTAAACGTTGAAACCCAAATGAAAAATGTAAGCTATGGAAGGGGCAGGTGAAAAGCTTGCTGTAAAATACCATGAAATGTGAGGTAATCTCAAAACATCTAAAAACGCTCAATAGTGCACAGCTGCGTAGTAGATCATAGCTTGGTAGCGAGTGAAAGCTAGGACCAAGCAAATCAATATGCCAAGAATGCCTGGAAGGTAAACGTTGAAACCCACATGAAAAATGTAAGCTATGGAAGGGGCAGGTGAAAAGCTTGCTGTAAAAACCATGAAATGTAAGGTAATCTCAAAACATGTAAAAACGCTGGGTAATGCACAGCTGCGTAGTGGATCATAGCTTGGTAGCGAGTGAAAGCTAGGACCAAGCAAATCAATAGGCCAAGAATGCCTGGAAGGTAAACCTTGAAACCCAATGAAAAATGTAAGCTATGGAAGGGGCAGGTGAAAAGCTTGCCGTAAAACACCATGAAATGTAAGGTAATCTCAGAACATCTAATAACGCTGGGTAGTGCACAGCTGCGTAGTAGATCATAGCTTGGTAGCGAGTGAAAGCTAGGACCAAGCGAATCAATAGGCCAAGAAAGCCTGGAAGGTAAACGTTGAAACCCAAATGAAACATGTAAGCTATGGAAGGGGCAGGTGAAAAGCTTGCTGTAAAACACCGTGAAATGTAAGGTAATCTAAAAACATCTAAAAACGCTGGGTAGTGCACAGCTGCGTAGTAGATCATAGCTTGGTAGCGAGTGAAAGCTAGGACCAAGAAAATCAATAGGCCAAGAATGCCTGGAAGGTAAACGTTGAAAACCAAATGAAAAATGTAAGCTATGGAAGGGGCAGGTGAAAAGGTTGCCGTAAAATACCATGAAATGTAAGGTAATCTCAAAACATCTAAAAACGCTGGGTAGCGCACAGCTGCGTAGTAGATCATAGCTTGGTAGCGAGTGAAAGCTAGG